ATGAAGTACCTGCTTAGCTGAGACGGTCTTCTAATACAGTTACTTGTTCTCCTGTATTAGCATGGGCCACTCCTGTGCTTGGTGGAGGCTGCCCCTGAAGACCTGACAGCTCTTCTGGGCTCTGTTGCCTTCACAGCTGTCTCCCACTGCATCCAACTTAGCCAAAGACCTGTGGTGGATGCTGTTTTTTCATGACATTAGTTTTGGGTTTTTTCCTGCTGTTTTTTTAATTCAAAAATTCATTTTGGTAGGGGAAAAAAAATGAGGAAGGAGTTTCAGACAAGTCAAAACATATTTGACTGATAAATTCAAAACAAAATGTTCGATAAAAAATAAAAATTCCTTTTTCTGTTTAGTGGCGTGAATATATAATTTTTGTTTTAATATTCTCATTTTTGCTGAGGGAACCAGGACATATTTCATTTAGGATTGGCATAAAGTAGACATTTTTATTTGGCTGTTATCCTTTTTGTCCAGGTTTGTTTGCTTGATAATTTCGAAGTGATTTGAGTTCTGAAACTCTGAAAATCAGGCTGCTTTGTCTGTGGCTCAGCTTCGCCTTTCACTGCTTTCTGAAAAATCTGGAAATGTGTTTTTGATAGAGAGAGGCTCAGCTCCAAATCATAAAGCCAAACAACCCTTCAAACTTTAGGGAATTCAAATTGCCAACCAGCCTTCAATACCGAGTTTGGTAAATGTCAACACTGTTCCTTGGGCAGTGAAATGGGGTGAAGGAAGAAGTGTTAAATAGGATGGGGAGCTGCCTTAATTAGTTGAGATGGGGAGCTGCCTTAATTACTCAACCTCTTTTTTTTTTTTTTTTTTCCAGGAGATATTTAATTCAGGAGCACTTGGTTATTTCATATCTTGTGACACTGCTTAGCCTTCTAATCTGGTGCTTTGGTCAGATGGAGAGAAGCAAAAAGACAGCTGTTGATTAAACAACATAAATGTTACTATGTGACTGTAAAAATGCCAGAAAGTTGTCCTGTTTGCACTTATAATTTATAAGTAATCTAGAAATATGCTTTGAGGCAGTGACTTCATCTAAAAAGAATTACCAGTTCAAAGTATATTAGTGCCCGGCTGCTGAATATGGCTTGGCATTAGGGATTTCTTCATCAGCATTAATTGGATTAAATTACCTGCAGTGAAATATGAGCCCTTTGAGGAAAAACCATTCTTGTCCTTCTGGCTTTAGAAGAATAAAAAGGACAGGGCGGGAGCAGGGGGAAGGGAAAAAGAAATCAAGAGGCAGTGTTCAGACAGGCTTTGTTTTAAGGCAGAATAAGAGTGAGTTTGAACGCGCTGTGGGTATGAAATCATTGCCAGGGAGTGGTGAGAAGGGGCAGCCTTTGGGTTGGAAAGGATTTTTTGTTGTCAGATCTCCCAGGCAAAGAGCAAAGCCCCAGCCAGGTCATGACGTTGTGGAGGAACAGTTGGGTCGGGCGCAGTGGGGTCTTGGGGACGGCTTGGACCCCATGAGCCACCTCCGCAGGCAAGGGGAGAGCAGGGCAGGGCAACCCGGGCTGGGGGACAGGGCGCTCAGAGAAGCAAAACAGCACCAAGACAGGACAGTGCAGGCACAGAGCTTCGGTGGGTGAGGCTGCCCACAAAATCAGAGTTACCCGCTGTCTGGAATAAGGGACAGGGATGAGATAGGGTGACTGTGGATCAACATTTGCAGTCCTCCCTATTTGCAACTGATATTATGAAGCTTGTGTAGTTTATGTGGAACCAGTAACTTGATGTTTCTAACTTGGATCTGCTGTATGTACAAACAATATCTTCTAAAATGTCCCCCTTATATCACCCCAAATATCCTGGCTTTGTTTTGTTGTTTTTTTTTTTTTTTTTTTTTATGAGTAAAATCTTAGACTCTCTATTTGTTGCTCATCTTTGCTACTGTGCTTCATCAATGAATAGAAACAAACCCCAAACAGCACGCTGATGCCTCTTGATTATTATTTGAGAAAGCTGAGGGCATGAACTCTGTTACCAGTGTATGAAGATTGAAAAGATGAGAAGGAATTCTCCTTTCTAATAAATTAATGTTGCCATAGTACCAGTTGTAAAAATAGTTGGGTGACCTGAGTTTTCACTCAGTCTCTAGCAGAATGTAACCTTTCAGCAAGCAATTTAGATGTTGCTAAACAAAGATACTGGGTATGAATAGATCCAACTTAGAAAAAATTATCTCTGTGGATAGAGCTCCAACTCTCTACCTGCTTATCATCTGCTTTGTGTTGACAGAGGGCAGGGCACACAGCTTGAATAACTCTGCTGGATTGACGCTCAAGAGCCCCTGGAACCGCCTCCACTCTTGAATTGTTTTAGCTGGGCAGGAGGTGTGGATGAACGTGCCAGTGTGCTTGTGGGCATTCCCAGTTCCAACACCTTCTGACCACCCTTGACAGCCTGCGGGTTACTGCAGTGTTATGTGGCTAGACACACTTCTAATCTAAGTGCGTGATCGCCATTATTTCACTAAATTTTTTCATTATGGCAAACTTCCCTTGCACTGTAAAAGTCTGATGCTTTGTGGATGAAATGTAGTTTTTCGGGAAAGCCACCAGCCTTTTCTGTCATGCGTGTTCATTTGTTGCCAACAGGAATTTCATTACCTGTACACTGATTCATACTAACTTATTTCATTGTGTAGCTGGGCATCTTATTTCATAATGCCACACATAGGGTCAGTTAATTCTGACAACCTGATGCTGTCAGATCATCTTGAGGCTTATGAATAATGACACTGAGTCTTGTACGCTTATTGGTCGGTGCAGGAAAACCTGTGAGTCTTTACTTCCAAATGACACTGTGGTATTAAATGACTGGCAGAGGCGAAGGTAGTTTGTAGAAGAGAGGTTATGAAAAATCATTAAATAATAAGATTGATAGGTGCCTGCTACATGAAAATCAATGGGTAACTCTCACTGATGTAATTTCTCTCCATTTCCTGCAATTTTCACATTCAATATTGCAATTAAACCACATCTCCAAAAGTCTTCACTCCTACCAAAAATACCATTCCATGAAGCTTCATTGTATTAACTGTTTATCACATGCCTTCTTTTCTGTCCATAACTTTCCCTTTTTCATCTTTGAAAAACTCCCTACAAAATTATGCATTCTGTCTCCTAGCAATTTCTGTCTGAAATACTGAATAGCAGCTGTTAGATGGGTACTGTGAATGTGCAAGAAATGGCTCTGTAAGTCCAGAGGTAAACAACAGGAGATGAATTTGCTGTATAAACACAATATCATTTTGAAACAAATGTCCATTAACCTGTAGTTAGGTGAAATCATATTTAAAATGTTTGTCTTACTAAAGGGTGTTACTAAAGAGGCCAGCTTGGTAGTAACTGAGCACCCTAAATGTTTCTTCATGTATCACAGTTACTTAATTGGAAATGGTTTGATTATTGCAGGCACACTTACAAGTACTGTGGCTTGGGAGCATTAATTTATTTGCTTGTTTTACATCTGAACAACAGTTTCCCAGGGAACCAAGTACTGTTGTTTGTGTGGAAAAAAAAAGAGAGAGGAACTCTGAGCCCAGCACAGAGCAGTAATGGGCTCCTGTTGGAAGTAGAGCTGACTGCACTCCTGTTGTATGACCCATTGTAGGATCCTGTTTTCAGCTATTTGTAACTTTGTTGGACTGGAATAATTTATGTCAATTTTTTTTTTCAAATGACGTATTTGGAAAAAACTATCCCATATTTTGGAGTGGTGTGGACATAAACAGTTGAAGTGTAGGAACCTCCAGGTTAAGTGAAGCTGGGGCCATGACTCCTGGGCATACACCATCAATTCCTCTTACTCACAGTTTGAGGTAACCTGGATCTTGCCATGTATGTCTTAAGGGTGCACCCCTTTGTGCCTCTACAAGTGCCATGACAGTGGGGTGTTTGATTATACAGCTGGGGTTATCTAAAGTGGCTGGGGTGCAATTTCTCCTCAGCAAACAGAAGAACTGCTGCATAAGGAAAGGGAAAGCTTTTTTTTTTTTTTTTTCTGACAGAAATGGTGAGTAGAACTACGTATGATCTGTAATGAAACCAAAAATATTTCCATGTTACAGCAGTAATGACACGAGAAAACTTAATTCAGGCTTACGTTTTGTTGAAATCATACATTTTTGACTAAGTTATATTCCCACTACAGCTGTTTTTGTCAAAAACTAGGGGACCCAGAAACTAATCTTCTGCATTTGCTGTTTAGATTTTTCAAAAACAACAACGCTTCATCTCTGCTCTCTCCTCTTTGTCATCTTTTTAGCTTGATTTTGCCTCCTTTTTTAGCTTGAATTCTTCTATCACACCAACGTGGAGCTGAGAAGATGGGATTAGGCCCATTTATTGAGGACTGCATGCTTGTACTGAACATGGAACAGGGAAAATAATTTAGCAATTTGATTAATTGTCATAAAGCCTATTTCACTTGCTGGCTGAAACCAGCCAGCAGCAAGAACTGCACAGCTTTCCTCAAACCTAAACTTCCAAATATCTCGTGATAGGTATTTACCCTTTTCATCCAGCCCCACATGGTATCTGGAGGACAACAGAATACATTCTCCATGTGAGAAATGTTCCAACCTTGCCATAGTTTTGGCACCAGCACTTGCCTCTCTGTCGGGTGCAATGCTTTCTTTGCATCAGGACAGCTCTACAGGTTGTGTGCAGACTGTGGGGACGCGCACTGGGGAACACCTCTGGTGCACATGGCAAGCCGTGATCGTAGGGCACTGAGTCCGTGTGAGCGATGACCGTCAGCAGATGGGTCTCAGAAAGAGGCTCAAGTTGAAACTCTCATAGAATAATTCCCATGTCTACTGTCTGAGTGTTGAAAACTTTTAACTTGTTTGAGATGAGCAATACTAATCTGATTAAGGATTACTAAGGAAAAGAGAAGCGAATACTGGTGTCTTTCAGCATTTAAAAAAAAAAAAAAAAAAAAAAGATACACAATGTTGACCATGACACCTGTATTTTCAGGGATTAAGCACCTGAAGAGTCAGAGTGATTCAGCATTTCCAGAGGAAGAAGAGGGAGTTAGCGAAAGGGAAGAGGAGTGGGGCCACTGAAGAGCGCGGAGGCGCCTCGGGCCCCATCACGGAGTGACTGAACTGCGCAGCCACGGGTGCCCCAGCCCACCCGCCACCGCTTGCGTCCCCCACCGCGGCGCTCGGCGTGCCGGCGGCACCAGGGCTCCCTGGGGAGCGCCCTTGGCGGGGCTTCACAGCCACCTGCAAATGTCTTCTGTCACCCTTGTACCCAGAGATCAAACAGTTATTTTAAGGTTGTTTTTCTTTCATTTTTCTATGACTTAGGAATGTAATATGCAAATGTGTTAGCGACCTGACGTCTGTACTGCCAGAGCTTAACTACTGCGTGTAAGCTGTACTCTGAGGCCTGCTGTAAATAAAACTGATTTAAAAGCTACAAAATAAACAATATGTTCATTTAGACAAGATTGTATATTGTACAGTGGTTTCTCTAGTGAGCAATGTACGTATAAAATAATCCTTTCAGTTAAGGGCAGCTTTTACAAATATTGTTAGAGTTACTTGCAGTAACGTAGAGAGAAACAAAGTAAGCAGAGGTGACTCTTAGTCTAGAGAATGACACAAAGACACTCTTCCCCGTGCTCCCTGGCTGTGCAACGCTTAAAATACTCACCTTGATTTTGGCCTGAGGCTGCCTAGTCACATCAGCCAAACCAATTTCACTTTATGTGAGATCATTGTTATCTGGAGGCATTAGAAAAAGTTTCAGTTTGGGAGTCAGAGGAAATACAGGCGCATGTGAGACCCATGAGCAGAGTCCCATGCGCCAGCTGAGCCACGGGAAATGCTGATGTTCACCTTCTTTGCCTGCAATAGGTACAGGGTACAACCTTCTCCAAGAAAGAGGACCAGACTACTCTGCATTTGTCACAGTTTCAGTAAATGGTAGCTTAGCCATCTACAGTGATTTAGCATGTGTCTGATCTCTAGGGTTTTTGGTTGAAGTCTGGCATGGCTCACACCAACATTTGATTTGTAAGACCATGCAAACTATATGGTATAGAAAGAAATAAAGTGGAGAAGAAAACTCATGTTTCTTCGAAGTCACACTTGACAGATCATTTCCTTTTTTATCAATGGGCAATTTTTAAATCAATTTGCTGTCATTTTGTATTACCCGTTTGCTTTTGATAGAGTTTTACCCTCAGTTTGTCTCTTTTAAGTCTGTTTTAAAGGACTGAACTAGCAAAAAAGAAAAAAAAAAAAAGGAGATGAAGTGTATGAAAACACAGAGCTTTTTGTTTATTCCTTTCACAGTGATTTCACTCTCAGTTCGAGGTCTTCCACGAAGACCTGCTGAGAACAGGATCTGTCTACGAGTGTTTCTTTATATTTGGGAGCCATCCTTTTGCCCTCCATCTGTATCTCTGTATCTGTCCTCTTTGTTGCCGTTTTCTGTAGAAACATATCAAACAGGATCCATGACTCCAGTTCAGCATGGCTATATAGGCAAGAAGGACTAAAAGAAGGACTGTCCAGTTGTACAGAAGCAGCTACAGGACGTATGGGACTGAGGGCTTTTTATGACACAAACATCAAAAAGAAGGAAGTGACCCTTCAGAAACTGTTTGAATAGCCCAAAGTTAAGACTGGAATGGTAGCAAGTAGATCTGGGCTCTGGTCCCAGCTTTGCCACAGCTTTATATCTGCACAGCACCATGCTCTTCACATAGTTGCTTGTTGCCACAGTGCTACCAGTCATAAACCAGTCATTGGTGTTTAACCTCACCCATCTATCTGTGTTGCCAGCTAATAAAGGGATTTTGATATTAATGGCTTTTTGCTGGTATCAGCACCCATAGGCTTCAGATGAGGACTATCTAGGACTTACAGGCAAATAAAAAATGTGTGTGATTTATAATAGTTAATACCAAGGCAAGGTATCGAACACTTTGGAATCTCAACGTTTCAAAGGCAACACAAAATACCTGATAAGAGCTTGGAGAAATAATCACTGAATACCCTGTTTTGGGATGACTGTAGGACTTGAGGATGATTACACTTTATAAATAATAGGAAAAAAAAAATATCTATTTTGAACTGGATCTTAATGTTTCCAGGATTGTTACTGCAGTGGTGAGAGGACAACAATTCTCTTTTACAGCCGTGATCTGGATGAAGCATCAAGGTCCTATAAGAGCCTCAGATAGCCACACAAGTATTTAGATGCATTGCTAAATCCAGGTCTTATCCTCTCCCCATCTCTAAATATTCCAGCTGTGTTTTATAATTTTAAAAGCCTGTTTCTTGCTCTCTTTCTTGACCCAAGGTTATGCAAGCAGCATGTCTGAATACAGGAACAGACTCCTCCTTTCTGGCAAACGGACAGCATTTGTTGCACAGATTTTACTATGGAACCACCCTGACTTCATTTGCTGGTGGGCCTTCATCTGAAGGACAAAGTCAGGATGCACATTTTATTATACATCATCCAATTTTAGCTTAAAAAGATAAGCAAACCCTGTTTGTCTCATCTTCCACTTGTGAGGCATAGACTAAGTGAAGCTATAAGGAAAGAGTAAAACAACAAAGCCCAGGAAAAAAGTCCTTGTCATGAAGCAGAGCTGAAACACTTCAGTGGATTGTCTGTGAACCCCATGACAGAAATATCTGGGTGTGGGGAAATCAGAAAGGAAGGTCAGGAAAAGCAGTCTGCTTCCTAAACTAGGTCTTTCCTGGGTTTTGGTGATGCCTCTGACATTTAAAAACAGTAGCCTTAGACAGAGAGCCTCTCATATGCTTTGGCATGTAATTGAAAGTGCTGGTTGTCTCACTGCATGGTGAGCTCCACATAGGTACACTTGAACAATGTAGATCTCTCTGTGGGAGTCAGTGGTCAATCATTGTTGCCCAAGGTGTTATGTCACCAAAAACATGCATTAAAACCAAAAAAAGCCATTAATGTTGTCTTTTGTTTTAATGTAAATGAATCAATAGGGGTTTGAGAAGGTAGACAAAAAGTTAGTGAAAATACCATGTGTCTCAAAGAAAATGACAATATGAAAACACCTTAAAGGAAAATGGTGATGACATGTTCCCTGTTTGAGCTGTCTCCTCTCACATTACCTGCTCCTGCTGGAGAGTCTTACAGGTTTGGTGGGAGCGGGATTTTTAGAGATGAGTTGTATTAGTCCATTTTCCACAAACAGGCTGGTGGAAAAAGAAAGCAGAAAAAAACCTACCCAGGCAAGTAATGAACATAGTTCTTTCTTAATGAGCAACCCTGATTTGTGTCCTCTTCCTCTCCCCACCTCCATGTTCTTAAATCTACCGTCTTTCCATGCTGTGTTATGTTTGCTGTTATTCTTGCTTTGAAGGTATTGCAGGAAATATTATTTGCAGAATTGAAAGGAAGCTGTCTCCTTGGACCGATTACAGTCTTTTCCCAGTATCCCTTAACTCATTAATGTACAGTGGTTTAAAGGGGTTTTGATACTGTATTTTACAGCCTTGTTTCTTTCTCTTATGCCATACTACTGATTCCATGACAGGTTCTTCCCTTTAGAGAGATTTATTGAGACATTGTGCTAATAAGTTATTTGGAAGAATTCCATGGTTTGACTTACAGGATGGTATATGTTGTTTATTCTCCAGGTGCAAAACCAGATAATACTTAGATACAAAGTAAGAGCCAAGATTTAAAAGTCCTTCCGAAAGCATAATTTCCACTGAAGTAGAGGAATTTTGCTTGAGAATGGCTGCAGGTTTTGGCCAGCAGCACACTTTCCTTTGGGGAATGATGATGTATAGTGTACAGGAAAGGTTCTCTTATCCTGCTATCAATTTAATTACTGAATTCCTTGCTTTTTTTTTTTTTTTTATTTTTTTTAAGTTTTTCATAAATGCTGCAGAAGTCTTCAAAGACTACCTTGCTGGCTTCTGATAATGTCAGTATTTCTCCCCACTTACGTAAACTGAAAAATCACCATTACTTCTTGTACCACTGGTGTTATTGAACCAAAGCTATCACGTCCAACACCATTGTATCATCTCCGAGGCAGGGCGGCAGGTGGAGGCCCTGCTGCCTGTGCTGGGGCCAGGGACCCCCATGGTGTTCAGGGTCAGGGCAGTCAGTAAGGAAGGGACCTCCGGTCCATCTGCACTTCCACTACCAGACCACAGTACCGAGGGCCAGGCCAGTGGCAGCTTTTGCTCTTTTAAAAAAATGTCTGTATTTTATTCCACAAGGCGCGCTGTTGGGTGGCTGCCCAAGCTTTCTCCAGAGCTGCCCTGGGTAGGCTGCAGTGCTGCGGGTGGTGGGGGGAGCTGAGCGGGGCCCCTGCGGGCTGCGGGGCTGCGTGTGTACGAGCCCAGCCACTGGCACCGTACAATGAAATGTCCCCAGCTCCATGCAGGGCCCCCCACATCATTTTTTTTCTCTTACAGATTGAGACACAAGGTTTTTTATGAGGGACCTTATTCCTGCAGTACCTAAGGCATCATCTATCCCTTAACAATGAGGGTTACGATACAAGGGCATATTTAAAACATGGTGTCCCTAAAACTCCCCTCTTCCTCTCCTATAGCATCCATGTTGGTGCTCAGGCTCACAGTGGTTCTCATATTCTTTTTTTTTTTTCCTTTTTTATTTTAATTTTCCTTTTATTTTTTTTCCCCCCTCTAACAGCTAGATGCTATGGTGAGCTGCAGCAGGAGTTTCAGTTGTTCTGTTGGTTCCTGACATGTGCAATTACATCTGACCTTTTCACACAGAGCATTATACTTGGCAAACAAAGCAGATGCTAAATGCCTCATATGCTTTGCTGTATTCTCTCCTTTATTCTCCAGTGAGGATAGCAGCACTTCGGGCAAATCTCAAGCAAGACATTAGTCCACCCTCTACTAAACCTCAGGCCACTTGGTAATCTCCAGTTACAGCAAAGCTGGCCGATGGAGTTTATACAAGTTCAATGTCTGTATTTCTGCTATAAGGGTTTCTGAGGGGTATTTTGTTTTATTTTGTTTTGCTTATTAAATAATCTGGGCTTATAGGGCAGAAAAAATATTTTGTGCTACTGCTAGGCCAAACATACTCTCTCTCAATTTTATGATTCATTTGCTTAGTAAATACTGACCCTTAGTGGTAAGCTGAGATTTGAATCGCATTGCCAAGTTTCTAAATTTTGCTTTTTTTCAACTGTTCAGAAAATGGCAGGAATATTTGCTGTACATCAGGATAGTCTATCTATGTAAATAGCCCACATTGTCTTCAACAGACATAATAGGCATGTTAAAGTAATGATGACAGGTGTTATTAGCTCTTCTGAAGGGAGGGCTGTGGGAAGCAGGAGTGTCGAAAGGTTATTCCAAAATGCAAAACAAAAACGTTGGCATTGAGAAGCAATACTCTCCACATAATGAGAAACAAATAAGAACTCAGTATCTGGCACTAACGAACAGCT